TTTAATTTCCTTTATAAGATTTTAATTTTGGGGAAGGGGAGCTTTTTGTGGGATTTCATAATTTCTTTGATAAACAGAAACATTGCTTTCTTTTTTACAGTCATAGTTTTAATACCTACCATGAGAAGTATTGAATTGTTCATTAAAACAAATACATAAAGTAACTTAATATTAAAACTCTTCAAGTGCTGAGGCATGGAACTGCTGGCCTACCCATCCTGAGTATCCATCAGACTGAGCCTGCCCAAGTATTTCAACACTAGACATGAAAACAAATAAACAATCACAGTGCCCACATAAACTTCCTTGCTGTAAGACTTCTAGAATCTTATTTGCACCTTTCAACATCCCTATTTACATGTTTTAATATGTAAATTATACAGTTCAGTCGTGTGTTTTCAAGTGGGCAGAATGACAGTGTGAAAGTCAGCACTCACTTCCATGACTGAAGGTGTAGAAATGGGGTCACAAATGGGTACAATGACAGAATGTTGCTGCTCTATCCTACCTAGTAGCCTAATGTACATCTTTGGGGGAACATAAAGAAAAACTCAAAAGGACTGCTTTCTGGTTTTAGTAAATGGCAACTGAGTGTAGAGGGCTTAGCACAAAAGCAGTGTTCCTGAACAGAGAGGCTGCTGGGCCTCCAGTCCTCTCATTATGGGGATTGTGAAGCTGATCTCTCTTGTAAGCTGTTGGAAATCTACTTGTAAGAGACATTATCAATGAAAATAACTTGTAGTAGAGTTTTTTCCCCTCCCTGTTTCCATGCCATGTAAGCTCTGAAATAGCTCATAACAAGCAGAAGAAAAATGTGTAACCAAATTAAATAAAACAAACAAGAGGTGGAAACTGAAACACCTTAGAAGTCTGGCCAGTTTTACACTTATGGAAATCTGGAGAGACTGCAGAGACAGTGGCTGTAAATGATGGCTGTAAATTCAGATCCAAGCAATTTATTTTACCTCTGTGCGTGGTGGGCAAAGTCCAGTCCATTTGTATCTACCAGTTAATATTTTACCCAAAGAGGGCACCTTTAACACTTTGAACAGTTCTCTAATTAAGATATTAAGGCAATGGCAGATCTAAATTGTGCCACTTAGTCAAATACGATCACAAGGACACATGAGGTGTCATCAGGTTCTTGAGATAGTTCTGCTCCTTTCTGTGTGAACTTGGGGCTCAGTTTGGCCATCAATAACCCCAGCTCAATAAATGTTCTTATGGGGCCCACTCATCCCCTTCTTCCTATCAGTCAAAGTTCTGCTCTGAAGGCAATAACACACGGGAAAGAGCTGGGAAAGAGGGAGGGACTGAGGCATCAACTGTGGCAGTGAGGAAAGGCCAGCCATGAGCCTAAGGGCATTGCCAGACACTTCCAAGGGGACAGTTCCTATGAGAAGACCCCCAGGGACCTGTCCAGGTGATGGCTTATCCAAGTAACTATACACATCTTATCCAAGTAACTATACACATCTTATAAACAGAAATGATGCTCAAACCAACAGCTCCTGAAGTAATCCTACTTATCTTTATCCTGACCCCATCATGCCAGGCATGAACGTCTAATTTAACTCTTGCACCTTGTACAGATAAGAATTGTTTTCCCTGATTTTATAAACAAGATAACATCAAAATTGCAACTTGGCAGGGATCACTGGTAAGTTCAGTGTGTTGCCTCATGGAAAATTAGACAGTAGAAGCAACAACACGACCAAACCCTTTTTCAGTCAGCAAGAGCTGGGTCTCACCATCAGGATAAGCAGCACAGGAGAGCAAGGAAGGAAGTGGGGTTGTGATCCACCTTAAACTAATTGGCAGATGGGCATTTTTAAAGACAGCTGAAGAGATGGAAGGTGTAGGTGTAGAGTCTGCTCAGGACTCAGTACTTCCTACCCATCAGGGTAACAATGTTCTTCACACTGCACAAGTTTACATGACACAGTAAAATGAACTACTCATAATCTTGTCTCAAGTACATGATACCTGAAAATAATCTTTTTTCTACCTCAAAGTCAAAGCAATAGAAATAAGTTTTCCATTTTTATGTTTATTCAATTAATAAATTAAACACAGAGATGTTTATATTCCTGATAAAAATCAGTATATTACATTCACTAGTATTCAGGAATGTAAAGATGGTAATATCCTCCTATAGAGAGTAAATTCACTTGCTCTTCCTCAAGGCAAATGAACAACAGCCAAAATGAACAGGGGTGTGATTTATTCCTTGTCTTTGGCAGCTCTTCACTTCCTTAATTCTTCAAATCTAGCACTTTCTGGTCTCTATTATGGATTGTCAAGCTATTCTGCAGTGCTGCAGTTTGAATTACAGGACATTCTCAGGCTGTCATGATGCAGCTGTGATCTGCACTGGGGTACAGACCAGGACCATCCAAAGACAGTGACTTCTGGCATAAAAAGCTATTTTTAAAAAAAAGTCTTTCTGTTGACGAAGAATGCAAAAGACATGTTTCCCACAAGCAGGTAAGTTCAAGAAGCACTGTTTACCTGACATCAAGTGAGTTCTCACTTATGAGTGAAAAGGATTTTCAGAAGTTTCTCTCTTCCTGGAGATCCTAGCTACTAATTTTGATGCCTTAAAAGCAGCATTTTCTTTTCATGTAAATGCTTTTCTCATTCTTGTGGTAAACAATAAACTGACAGAATGCTTTCCTGGCACTAAAGTATAAAAAGTCACCAAACTGCCAAAGAGGGAAATTGTCTTTCTTCCACTCTCCATCTGCTGCAGGCAGCTGAAGGGTAACTTATAGCAACCGTAGATTAGGAAAAAAATGCACATTGCTATAGAAATTGCCAACAGTAGACTCACTTGGAGAACTTGGCTTTATTTGTAGACATTTCCAAACATTATTTGTTCTTTTTCAGGGCTTATTTCAAAATCTATCAAAGCCAGAGACAAGACTTCCATTAATTTCAATGCCTTTGGAGCAGATTCACAGGAGAGAGCCTGTGGCACCCTCAGCCCTGGCATTTTTAGTATGTTCATGTAGTCAGATTTCCAGCAGCAGAGAAAGAACTGGACAATGCTACAGAACACACTCGTCATAGAAGTGAGCTCCTACTGGAAATGTCTGCATCACCAAGCCAGTACATTTAAGTACAGTGTCCTCCATCACACCCGTGCTTTCAGAAATAGGCTGTGTTTTTCTTATCCAGAAGGATAAAGTGGGAGGGCTGGATGCCAGCTGCTGTGAAGCCTGGCAAGTCAGCAGGGCCCAGGAAGAAGCAGGGAGTCTGGAGAAAGCATCATGCAAACACATGGGGGCCAACTAACTTAAGAGCAGCTGCCCTCAGCTCTGACTGCTGCAACAGCTTGAATATAAAACACTTGGATTGGGTGTTCCCAAACTGAAGCCTGTGAAGATTTGTATGGGGCCAGAAAGGACACCTAATTTGCAGACAACCCCAAGAGAAGCAGCTGATAAAGTAGTTACAGTTTAATCTGGGAAGGGGATGGGTGTCTGGGCCAATTAGCTATTTAGAATATGGATTGGCCTTCTCCAGAGCTGGGAAATCCAGTCTGAAAATTCACTTCTTAGATGCTCCATAAGCTCTCCCTATTAATAATCAGAAATTCATGTGGGATCTGCTCCAAGGGCTCCATAGCTGAACTCTTGATTTACAGCCACGGTGAGAAAGAAGATATCCAGAAAAGTGTATTTTCTTCTCCTTTCCTCTCATCCCCCACAATTTTCCTACCCATTAAACACTTTCCAATTAACTTTATCTTTAAAACCCTGATAACAGTCCTGCTTTTTCCAGCTGAGCAAGACAGCCATAAACAGGAGGTCCAGAAAGGCCTTGGGATTGAGGTTCACTCTCAGATGGGATGGGCACTGCCTTCAGCCCAGCAGTGCAGTGCAGGAGGCATTTCTGCACTGCAGGAATCCACCAAACACTGCTAATTCCTCTGTGCTCTGGTAACTGGCTCACTGACCCATGTCTAAATATAAGTGCCTGTTCTTTCAGTTTTGGGTTATGGTGGTATAAATTAATAATAATGGCATCAAACTCAGTGGAGTTAATGCAAAGGACAGGAGGATCACAATAGCTAAAATCCTTATTTGTACTGTGCTTCTACTAAGCTGCTGGCTTTGTAAACCTGGATATCTTTCATAAGGAAGTTGAGATGCATTTAGAGATTTCAGCCCCTAAACGTTGCTGGGCTTGCTTCCCAAAGTCCATCATCAGCCTTTAGAATGTGCTAATAGGGCTCTCAAGTAGTTCTGATGATTAAAGCAATATTTTCATCTTTCCTAAGTCATTGATTTAAGTTATAGCCTTCTCTTCTGCCTCCCAGAAGGTAAAAATACTGTAGCTCCAAAGAGCTGAGCATCTTATCTTTTAAGGGATGATGGGAGCATTTCACTTGGGGTGTGGAATTCTAAGCAGACACAACAGTTCAAAATGAAGCTTTATTGGAACAGCTGAGATGAATCTGCACATGCATAAACAGGAGGGCAGGATGGATCTGATACAGTAATTATAGACATTGCATTAGCATCTAAAGGAAGCACCTCAATAATTATTATAAATAAAGCAATCCAGACCAATTAAATGTATCTAGAGAAGCAGTGTGTTTTCCCATCTCATAACTCCTTGTGCTTCTCATTTTTTTTATTCTCACTATTTTATCTCTTTGCTGTTGTAAAGACCTCCCAACTTCAATGTTCACACAACGAAGCCTTTGATGCAGGAGCTTTATCTCACTTTTCCACATGTCCAACAGTAGCATATATCAACTTTATCTTCTCTGCTCACAAGGAAAGCAATAATTTAATGTCTTCTCCTCAAACTGATCTCAAATGGGATGTGACAGTTGTACAATAGAGCTCACAGGGCTCAGTGCAGGGACTTAGCATCAGCACAACACCCCACAGGCACAATCACAATTATGTATTAGAAGTTCTGTTCTGTTCCATTCAGTGCTCTATTGCTACTGTTGTGGCAACCAACAAAGAGGAAGGAGAATGCTGATGACGTCTCAAGCTTTTGAAGAAGGCAGCAAAAAGAGTGGTGTCCTTGTAAGCAAGACCAGTGGGATGCATAGCACTGAGCTGAGAATGTGGCTCTGGGTCACAGTTCTGATTTCCCATGCTGTGTATTTGGCTGTGGAGGAAGAAACTGATGAAGGAATACCTTGTTCAAAATACCAGCAAGCTTTCAACCATTCATGCTATGAGATTGTTAGACTCCAGCAAACCTTCACAGGTGCCCAGAGCTGGTGTGAGAGAGAAGGAGGGCATCTTGTCTTTATTCAAAATGAGGAAACTCAAAAGTTCTTGCAAAAACATATTGCTGAGGATCAGGAATGGTGGATAGGACTGATCTCAAACTCCTTGCTGAATGAAACTACTGATGGTAAGTGGTCTTAAAATCATATTTTTAAAATTGTATCAGCTCATGATGCTTTCTGAACATGGTATAAAATGCAGTAAGTCCCTTTGTAGATATCTGCTGAAAAGCCTCTTGTTGCTGTATCTTCAGATTTCTATTAAGATGTTTAATTGCCTGCTTCACTTCCTTGTTGCATGTTATCACCTTTTCCACTGGATCTTGTGGTTGTGTGAACACATGGTGAGTGAGACCAGCTTGCTGACCCAGTGAAACAAATGTGCTGGGTTAGGTCTCCAGTGGAAGCCAATTCATCCCACTAGGAAGTGCTGCAAGGTCTGATGCAAGGGAAATGGTGAAATCTTGAGGCTGGGAGCACAGGTGGAAGTGGCAGTGCCTCTTTTCATGATTATATCAGGTTCAATATAAAATGCAATTGAAGATCCTTACCCAGACTAAACCATCTCTGCTTCAGTAGGAGCAGGGCTACAGTCCTGCTCTGCAGTCTCTGACTCTAATTGTATTACTTAGAAAATAAACATTCAGGACACAATTTCTCTGTTCACAGGGTCAATAACTTGGCTGGACACTTCAAATATAATCTACAGTAACTGGTACAAGGATCAGCCGTCTCACTTCTCATCCATGTGTGGGTACATCCTGAAGAATGCCAAGTATCAGTGGGGTGTGACTGAAAATTGCAGTCAGGAATTTGACTTCATTTGCGAGTTTGGTAAGCTACACAACAGCTGGAACAGTGAAGTGAGTGTGTTGTGATCACAATGGGGCATAAATTGCCTTGTTGTTTTCAAAGTAGCTGGGAAATAACTTCATGAATCTTACTAAATGTGAACAAGCAAAAAGTCATAGAACCCCAGCAGGTGCTCTTTTTCCAGTGTGCTGATAAAGATCTGATCCAAAGAAGGAAGAACCCACAAATCACTGGGAGGTGTAGGTGCTCAGCAACCAGACCTTAAGGGCCAGGGTTCCAGCAGAGGGTTGATAAAACAGAAACAGATCTGAGAGTGAATAAAATGTGTAGCTGTCCACATCTTCAGTGGACATAAGCTGGCTATGTTAAAACATGGATGCAAGAATAAGCTCCCACAACACCATAATACCTGGGCTACATAGGACCTGTATGGCTGTACCATAAAAACACTCATTAATGTGTGCCAGAATAATTTCCATTTGTAACTGAAGAAAAAAATCAGGCAGGCTTCCAGAGGCACCACTCCTTGCAGCCTAGAGAGAGCAAAAGTGAGAGCAAGTTTTTCTTGTTTCTTCTGAGACCCCTCCACCATGTGAAGTTCAAGGTTTTCCCAGGTTAAGGAAGCAGACAGGAACCTGTACTTCCTGTGCTCAGACAGAAAATCCACAGACATTGTGTTACTCAAATTGTGACTTGGAACAAGCAGTTCTGGAAAGGAATGCTGGCAATATCATCCCTTTCAACATATGGATATGAGGGGAATTTGTGTTCCTCCCACTTTGCACAAGAGTACTTTAAACTGCAGCTAGAACTGGGGTCACAAGCACTGCAAGGACAGTCTGGCTGTGGACTCACTAATATAAAAAGGCTTCCAATCAAGTACACAAGTACAGGTTTCCACAAGCCCTAGAACTGCTACTGCCCTGTCCAGCAGTCTACTACTACTGACATAAATAACAAGTTGTTCTGCAATAAGCAAAGCTAATGAAGTTTTGTTTGTTATCCTGATTTTCTGTTCCACATCCCCTCCCTACTCTCCTCAGCACTCCCAGTTCACTCCCATATCCGAGCAGGTCCCACTTCTGGAAATACTTTTCACTGCCTCAGCTCCCTCCCCTGCAGCTGCTCTAGAGCTCCAGCTGTATGTGCTGGCCACTTGAATTCCATGGCATTGATGTAGCTCTTTCTCCTCTCCCTAGATATTGCATTTCATGAAATTTTAGGGTGTTGGAGGTTTGTATCTATACATCAAATTTAGCTGAAGATGACTAACATTAAAAATGACTGGGGGAGAAGAAACTGGCAGACAGCACAATCCCTTAAGCTTATTTTTCTTGCAAAAACAGACTAAAATTATTTTTCCATTGCAACCACAGTAGACAACTGTCTGTTTGTAAGGAAACTATCATCTGTTACCATAGGATCTGACTGAGAGCCCATTAAGTTCAAAGAGCAACAATATTCTACACTACATTCATCATTTCACTACCCAGGAAACCAAGATCAGATCAAGGCAATTCTACCATTTGGTGTTCTATAGGTTAGCAGTTTATTATAGTAAATATATATGTATCAAAGCAGGGTTTGTACCTAGAAACACAGACCAAGTTTTGTCCATCTTTCTATGTAAAAGTTGCTGAGACAGCAAAAAGTGTGAGAAACCTGCATACAGCGAACAAAAAAAGGCATGAGATAATGGTCCATACTAGAATTTACCAGCAAGTTATTTTTCAAGCTTATTTAGAGAGCTCTAATCTGCAAACTGATCATGTTGCTATAGTTACAGTCAGGCTTAGCTTTAGCCTTTAAACAACAATAGCACACAATTATTGCAGTGTGCATACACTGGCACTGTTAATCAAGGGACTTGAGGGGAATGATCCAAACAACAACGGGAGGACAATGTATTTAAACCTGGAACAGCTGAAACAAAAACATCCTTTTGCAACACTCCCATATGAAAGCAGTTATTCACATCCTCCTCTTCAGGGTATTAAGGATCCTGATTACTACATGATACTAAGAATTCTGAAAGATAATTAACTGTCCCAGATTAATCAAAGAATGAGGTGTATGTATTTAGAGCTATGACCTTACCCATCTGAGCAGCCCTGCTGAATGAAGTCAGTCAAATATCACACAGGAACAAAGGAGTCTCTGTAGCAGAAATGGGATCAGCTCCCATACTTAACATGCAAACTATTCTCCAAAGCAATTACCTGAATATTATGCAATCCATACATCTCTTTTGGAAGTAAGGAGCAACTTTAAGCCTTCCAGTATTTCAGGTCAAACAAATGCTAAGAGTTTTTCACTAAATACTATCTATTTTTATAATTAAAATATTTTTGCTTATTGAAAATGTCCTCAATATTTTAAGACAGTAAAACAAAAAATCCATCAATTTTGACTATTCTGTAATTTTGTTAAGTTTTCTTAATTGTTTAGCTTAAAAGGGAGAAAAGGTAAGAAATACAAACAAAACAAAATTAACACGGAGTAGAATTGTATCAGGATTTTTCAGAAATTCAAAGATAATATTTGGGGTTTTTTTCTCCTATTAGAATCTGGCCAGAGCATCGCTTGTGATAACTCCAATGCCACTGTACAGTGTGGATCAGGAGAAGTGATTCAAATTGAAGAGAGCTTCTACGGGCGGAAGACCCCGCACTACTGCGTGTCAGAGACTCTGCAGTTTGAAAGAGATGAAGGCTGCAGCTGGCTCAATGTCAAAGATGAAGTAACAGGTGGTGTCTCACAGCATTGCTTGTCAGAAACACAGAGCATGTACCAAAGTTCCTTGTGCCTCGAATAATTTATCTTTTTTCCCAGTAGAGTTTGCAAATGGAAAAGAGGATTGCTCCTAAAATGAAGAGAATCACAGAGAACTTCTGACGGGGAGGAGGTTGCTACAGGAGGTTGGATGGAAAGGAGGGGCTTTGCAAGGGGCAAAGATTCAGAGAAGGAGAGGGGGAGCAAAAGGAAGCGTTCTGTGAAGAGCAAAGATTCAGAGAAGGATAGGAGGAGCAAAAGGAGGGATTTTTGCGAAGAGCAGATTCACAGGAGGGGAGGAGCAAATGAAGAGCAAGGGGTGCGCCTGACAGGGGTGTGGCTGGCTCCTCTTAGTGTAGGAAGAAAATATGTGAGCACAGATTATTTGACAGATTCAGTGAGATACACAAGGTTCGACAGAGATGGAAGGCAACACATCCAAACAAACCTAACTCCAAAGCCAAAGCAGGAGGGGTGAAAAAGCTGACAGCCACAGGGACATGAGGCCAGGAGGGACCTGCTGCTGCCTGCCACATGTCAGGCACCCACCCTGCTGGAGCCAAGGGATGGATTCTAAACAGTGACTGTGGCCTGTCCCCAGGGAGATTCTTAGGGCTTCCAGCCAAAATGAAACAAAACACAGAAGCTTCCTTTTTCTTTCTTTCATTTTTTTTCCCTACCTTTTCAAATTCAGCTTTGTTCCAATAAAGTGAAGTGGTGCTAGGAAATGCCACACAATATGCAACACACTCAAGTCAAAGCGATGTGGAAATTTGTCTAGAAATCAGAGACATGATACTGCTCCTTTTGCCCTTTTTGTTTCTCAATCATCTTTCATCTGAGCTGTTGTGGCAGTAAAGGCAAAAGCCACTTGGTGATCTGAAATGCTCCCTTTCCAGGCCAGTGTCACGGGCTGCAGGCCTGCCAGGTGGCAGCAGATGGCACTTTCTTTGGAGATCCTTGTCCAGCTTTGGGAAGCTATTTGTCTATTCAATACCACTGCAAGGAAGGTAAGAGGGAGGAGGATGTTCACACTAGAAGCCTGTCCTGTTTTGTGCTGTAGCACTGAGACCGTTGGTATTTATCGCAAAAATCACTGTTCCATCCTCTTCCATCCAGGGAAGAAACTGGAATAGTGGTGATCACTGAAAATAGGCACAAAAATGTAGATTCCCTGTCCTAACTGAGGGTTTTGGGCAGAACACAAAGCCCAGAAACTCAGACACATAAAACATATTTAGATGAAATTATGTTCCAACAAGAATTTTGATTACTAGTCATGGAAAAGAATCAGCTCCTGTCACACCATTAATGTACACAAATTAGCAGCAGTACCAGCTGTGGTCTGGAGCATGCTGGCTCTCAATGCCTGAAAATAAATTGAATTTTATAAGGAAAGTAGACAAACACTGGGACTGAATTGTGATTCTGCTTTGCAGGTCTGCAGCTGATTATGAAAGACACATGTTTTGTCTTTGAAAATATCACAGTCACTTTGATCTGGCTTCTCTCACCATATTCTGGGAACCTTTCCTGTACCATTAGCACTGGAGATGGTCACACCATTGATCCTTACTACCCTCTAACGTAAGACACAGCCTTAATTTCTCTTCAGACAAACAGTACATTTCATTGCTTGCACTTTATTGAATGTGCCAAGTCTCATAAATGAGATGTTAAAAACTAGATAGCTCAATAATAGGACATACCTACGAGAGATTTGGATTCTGCAAAAACCTGTTTTGAAATCAATACAAAATTTTATATTAAGCTGCCAACCACAATCTTCCTTCTATTATAACAAGTGTTTCCTATTTCTAAGACTATTTATTCCAGATCTTAAAACTCAAAATTACTGAAGACATGTCAGTAATTGCCAAACTACAAGCAAATATTATTTCCTTAAGTTTAAAAAGTGGGGTTTTTTATAACAAAATATAACAAGGACATTCCGTAGTTTTTCTTTTATTTTATTGCATAAAAATCCTGTCTTTAATAGATCAAACATTTTTCTGCTGGATTTAAAGATCAGATTTGGTCTTAGTAGTAGGAATGACATTTGAATGAATGAAATTTGGGGATGTGTTATCATGTAAGGTGAAGGACTTCCCAGGATGGTCTTCCACAACAAGTTCTCTTTCTATTCTAGACTGGTCAGCAACATCACATACAGGTACTCCTCTCCTGGGGAGTTTACTGTTTTTGTGGAGTGCACCACCAGTGAGTGGCATGTGATGGCACAGAGGCAGGTGACAGTTCAGGATCAGGAGGATCAGCTCAGCATTACGGGGTGCTACAGCCAGTATGGAACAGGGAACAGCTCCCGCTGCCAAACGCTCTATGGGGAGGACCTGTGGGTCCAAGTTCAGCTCAGTGGAGGTGAGGATCATTTCTCTGCATGATTTAAAGGGAAGGATAAATATCATTGCCATCCTTAGGATAGAAGCAGGATTGTCATTATGCAAAATTATAATTCTTTTTAGTCAATGCTTTCCCTCTAATTGCTGTATTCCTGCAATTTTATTCTCTCAATTCCCTTGGAGGAGAGATAAACCCTTTTTTCCTACTGACAAAGCTGACAGCACAAGCATAACTTTAGTCACAAAAATCTATGTGATGCCAGTCAGAATATTTCTGTGTTTGAAGTTAGGAATTTATGGAAATGCTCCTCTGATTAGAGTAAGAGGATTCCACTCTGAGCTGGACACATTTGCTAGTGTACATTTCTTTCTCACTTCAAGTTCCTGGAAGCCACATATGTGCTGAAAAAAATAAAAAAAATCAGTAGTGTATGTTTGAATTCTCTTCTCAAAATATTCCCAGCAGAAAACACACGATAGATTTGTATTAAGTCACCTTAAGTGACTTTATTAAAAATGAGTGCATTGCTGCAGTGTTCTTGTGACTCCTGTATAAACACTGGAATGCTGCACAAAGCAGCTGGAACTTGTTGGCCTATTGCACGAGCTGTGAGAAATTTTCATCTGTGTTTTTGCAGGCAATGGAGTAACCTACAGTGTGTTAGCAGATAACATGACATTGAGTGAATCCAGTGCAAAGGAAGGTCTTGTTCCCCATAACCTGACACTCAGCAGGGCCTCTCAAGAGCTGATAGGCCCAGGGATGCATCAGCTGGAAATCCGAGCATCCAGGAGCATGATGGCACCGGAGATCTCTGGGACTATTGCTGTCCATTTAATTGAGCCAGTGTCTGGAATTCAGGCTGCAGTAGCTTCCCACACTCTGCAGCTGGGGGAGGATTTGGAGGTGAATGTCTCTGTGTCCCGTGGTGCCCCAGAGAAGCTGATGTTTGAGGTGACTGGATCCAACCGAACGCAGTGCCACAGAGCAGACAGCCCTCGTGGGGAGCCGCGGACGTACGGCGTTCCCGTGCCCTGGGAAGGTACAGCACACCGACACCTCCTGCGCTTCCAGGACATCACAGATGAGCACAGGTCACATAAAGAGTCACAGCATCCTGGCCTAGGGGACAGTAATGCACAGCTGAATTTGGCAGCTTTTCTGACTGCTCAAACTTACTCTGCAGAGCAGGATGAACAGCACAGTCCTATGTAAGTGAGCTAAAAAATTGGAGCTGACAAATGGCTCTGCTCCACAGAGTCAGAGCAAGGCTTCAGCTGATTCTTGCAGTGGAAGAGACACAGTAAAGAGACATAGGGTTTATTTTTTCATGGCACCATCTGATTGAAGTACAAATGAGGAGTGTTTTCCTCCTGTTTGTTCATTATGTTTCAAGTTTAGACTGCTCTGCATTTTACACTGAAGTAATTCATAGTCTGAGAAGTTCTTAGTAGAGATGATAAAGAAAAGGGGAGGTTTTCTGCACGTCCATTTCCAACACATAACTTTTGTTGTTAATTATGAATAAACATTTTAGTAATATTATTCTTCCATTATTACATAGTCAAAGGCTTTAAAATGTGGAATTAGGCAGATTGTGCTTTAGAGTTATTTAACAGTGGCAGAAGATAAAGAAGTTTTCACCTCTAATGAGCTATTCCAACCCCACGCCAAAGTGGGAACAGTAGAAGCTAATTAGGATTTCATTTCATATTTTTAAATTATTCAATATTAAAGTTTTATTTGTTCTCCCTGTACCCATTTGAACATCCCTTCCCCATAGCCAGAAATTTTCAAACAAGATAACTGCTGTCTCAAGATGCCTAAATTCATTTGGCCTCCAGTGTTTGTACACCTCTAGTTTCCTGTGTGATATCATAGTCAGCTGACAAAGAATTGCATTACAAGGGCTAGGAAAAGGGCAGCTGAGTTATTCAGAAGTTGAGATAAAGTGGAAAAACATTCCAGGAAAAGCCTTTCAGCAGTGGACACCCATCAGAAACCCCCCTGGAAACTCCTAACAGAAAAGAAGGAGATTTTCTTTACAAATTGGATATTATACCTCAAACCTGTTGAACTGGGCCCATGGCTACTCTTAACTGGCGCTTTGCCTTCTCTAGGTACTTTTGTAGTGAAAGTGGTGGCCATGAATGACTTCTCAAACATGAGTCTGGATCTTGGATTCATCACTGTGTTGGCAAACAGCTCCCATAAAAAAGGTAATTACATTAATGTGACAGTGCTGGTTTTCACCATGTAAGTGTATTTTTGCAATCAGAGCATTTCATGGAGTGTTTATTATTTGCATGTAGTAATTACTTTCCTTCCAGCAACAGTGCTGAAAACTTTTGTGGAGGCTTCTTCCTGATGGAGGCAGATTCCCTGACTTTGATGTAGTCATAAATTAGCATCACTCTGTATATGTAACACATTGCACATTTGCTGTTTGTGCTAGAAATAATGAGTGAAGTTTATGGCTTGGGACATAGCTTTGAAACCAGAAAATATTTGCATCACAGCAGTCTCATAAATTGCTGTCACTAATGGCTTCTAGATGGCTCATCCTTACATTTACAAGAGCAGATTATACCAGCAATAAAATAACCTTAGCACTAATTGTACTGAAAGTTTTCCGGTGCTTTCCATCAATTTTCCTTTGCACATCAGTGAAACTCCATCACCTTCTGTGAATATATTTTGATTTATACCATTATGTTTGAAGAATCAGGATCATCTCCTTTGTAGTCTGTGATGAGCTTGTTGTTACCATTTTACCTATTTAATGACTGTGCTGTTTGTCACAGCTCTAGAGTCTGATTCTTACAGCCCCATCTTTCACACTGTCAGAAGTCAAATCCTGTGGATTTAAGTCATATTCACTGAGGATGTCTGAAAGTTTTACAGGTAGCCCTAAAATATTCTGTTATTTTTTTTTTTTTAATTAAACAGATTCTGATAAGGAAGAAGGCAGCTACAAAACAAATACCCGAAAGAAAAATGTAAGTGTAATTTAAGGATCTTTCTCTAAAATTGCTTAGAGATTTTTCTTACCAGTGAAAGTGCTGTATGAGACAGGGAAAATAAGTACTTGTAGCATAGTAAATTATGAACTGGATGTTCTGCTCCCCGTATGGCTTAACACAAAATCTATACCACAAGTCTTGGAGACAAATGTGTTTACAGGCATTCCATCTACAATTCATAAAAAAGATTAAAGAAAATTAACTTATCACAACAATTCAGTTTTGGAAGTTAAAATGTGTTTAGATTACTTTTTAATTCATCTACTTGACTAATGTAAACCCCTCTCTGGAAAGTGATCCTTCAAGTAGAGTTTAATATAATTTATATGGTTCCCAAGTGTTTTCTGCTTCTGTATTGGAGTGTTTAAATTATTTTGCAATGAAAAATCTTCCAGTTTTTGGCAAACTAAGAAGTTAATGATATACCAATTGCTAGCAGCTGTCCAAATTTAAATAATAAAAATGCCAGATAGAATATTTTATCATATTAAAAGTCTAGTTTTTCACTGTAACACTGGCAGACAGACATCTGCTATGGGAGATATACTGCTTCACAAGAAGCCATCATACTTTACAGATTGCCTGTAAAAATATATTGCATCAGAGGAATATAAATCTAATCCAAACCCAAATTTATCACAGTTTGGTACACAGAAAGACAAACTCAGCTACCCCTTCTCCTCTTTGTTTATAGCTGCAAAGTATCCAATTAAGATAAAAAAGGAATGCACCAGAAGACAAGTGGTTGCTCAAGGGTTGGAAGTCTTGGTGCAGATGTGAAAGTTTAATAGGAATTAATTTCCTATGTACCTAGTTTTGAAAATGGGAGCTGCACTCCTAAACCAATTCTGCATCTGGGAGAATTTTGCCACACAATTTTTCTGTGCCATCTTCTTCTACTCCCATAGATTCTACTTCCACACTACCTCTGCTGAGAGAAAGATCATATAAACTACAGATCTTCATCCAGTGATTTGGGGTCTAAACTTTCAGATCTTTTTCATTATAAAGAAGCAACATATATATGTGTTTCTACATGTTTGTGTTCTAACTGATACATTTACTTCTCATTTAGGATCACAAAATATATATTAAACCAAGTCGCCATGTGGATCCTTTCACAACTGTTACACTTGGCTGGCCAGACAGAAACAATAATTCCAGTTTTCTCTGGACCTGTGGTTTGTGCATTTCCTGAACTTTTTTCACCAACTTGTACTTGATGAGTAACAAACTCACTGTTGTGTCAGATCCCGTGTTGAAAATCTAACTTAAGGATGCTTCATTTTCTGGCTTTAAAGTTTGCCACTCACTGTACATGAAGAATGTCCTTCTACTCAACCCTAGTTTTTGGACCAAAATAAATATGTATATAATATGGCATAGTACTCCATTTTGTCTTCTCCCAAAGGTTTCAGTTTTTCAGTTTTTCAAGATCTACCTGTCCTAAGCTTCACTCTCATAGCCAAGGACTAATCCCAAGTGATTTACACAGGCATTTGCAAAGTACATGTGTCTCAATAAAACAGCAATAATTAACATTAAACATGATGCAAACACATTTCTGGCTGAAAACAGGATTGGGATTCAGGCCATCTGTGTTCTATCCCTGTAATTATCCCTGACCTGATACATGACTTTGGAAAAGCTTGTACTCTAATCCAGATTACCAACTCTTTAAATTGTGTTAAAGAAACTTGTCTATAAAGCTCTTTGAAACTTATGGCAGGAAAGTCCTTTATAAGATGCTGTCCTAACTATGAAGGAAATGTTTCTGCAGGAGCTTGCTGGCCTGCCTGGAGTGAATGTGTGAAACAACAGATAATCCTAATCAACCAAAGTGAGGTGCAAATCCCACCTTCCTGCCTTCCTCCTCCGAAATCAGCAGTGACTGTCAGGATTACTGTCCAAAACCACGGCAGTGAAGAGAGGCAGGACGAGCAATGTCTCTATGTGACTGCAAAAAAACAAGAACTGCAACTGGAAATCAGGTCTGGTTTTAAACCCTGGTATTCACAGGTTAATATTATTACTGCACAAGCACAGTGCAAGGCCACCGTTTCCAGTAATAATGATAATAAAGTAGTATTGTACTTTTAGAATCATAGAGTCCTAAAATCACAGAATGGTTTGGGTTGGAAGGGACTTTAAAGATCATTGTTGTACCCCTCTGTCATGGGCAGAACACCTTCCACTAGATCAAGTTACTCAGAGCTCCATCCAGCCTGGCCTTGAACACTTCCAGGGATGGAGATCCACAGCTTCTCTGGGCAACCTGTGCCAGGGCCTCAACACCTTCACAGTAAAGAAAACTTATTGTTAAAAATCCATTTACATCTTACCATTATAAAAATTACTGACCAAATAAGTCTTGCTGCATTTTTCAGTCCATGTTTCTGAACACAATCCTTTTACAAACTTAAACACATTCTTCTGAAAACTACATAGGGTTTTTGACCCCACTGTATCTTTCTAGTGTTGGAGATTTCAATGTGTCAACCTCATTGAAACTACAGGAATAAATGCCAAAAGATATGTATGCAATTTCTCCTCAACATCTCATACTATGTGTAACTCCCATCTTACTTCCTTATAGGTGTGAGTCAAACTGCAAGCCAGTGAATGTTAGTGATGAAGTTGTTTTGAGTGTCTCTGGACAGGAGGACTCCCAGGCTATATATTATAACTGGTATTTAGATAACACATTCCAAAACAAGGTGAGAGCACCAGATTTGTCAGAAATACTGCACACACAAAAATAAATATCCACAAAGCCATATGGCCTCAGAGGGATATTTTGTCGAGTGGATGCTTAGAAAATACTAGTGAAGATTGAGACAATGGGGTGTCTGGATTGGGAGGGGTTATAATGAAGGGCACCAAACTGTCACCCTGCTCCTGACAAATCACAACAGAAAGAACAGCAAAAAGCCTCTACTGCCATGTGTTCTTTTCTGTCTGATTTTCCAGTCTACAACCCTCCCTCTAGCCTGTGGCCTGACTGGTTTCCGGCAAAACTCTTTGAATTTGCTCCAAAGCAACTCATCTGTGTTAAGAATGACCAGCTCCTTCCTGCAGACACAAGGAGAAGCTTTTCAGATTAAAGTAACAGGTAGGGGCTAACAGGGTTTTTAGGGTTTACAGGCTCCTTTGACATAATCTCTGCTGGCATGACATCATATTGATGTCACACTTGCATAGTCTCATTGACAAATATGAAGGTAGATTAGTCCACAAGGTGAAAGTGGGTTTTATATGCAAGTTATTCAACATAATGAGGATTTAAGTTTGTTCTGGGGTGTCACACAGCAGGAGAAATTCAGTTATCTTTCTCCAAGCTGTTAATAACTTTGTTTAGGTTCACCTGAAACAAAGTTACACTAAACGCTTGATCAAATAATAGCGCTTTGCTTTATAATGCAGACATTAACATACTGGAAATAGTTCTTTTCCTGTTATGGTTGATTCAGTAGCAGGATTTCACTCCTCGATAGCCCAGCCTGCCGTATGTGTGCCCGGTTGCCCGGTGGGCACGATGCAGACCTGACCCAGGCGCTGCTGGGGCACGGTCCTGCCTGGCACGGTCCTGCCTGGCACGGTCCTACCTTGCACGGTCCTGCCTGGCACGGTCCTGCCTGGCACGGTCCTGCCTGACGCTCTGCTCCCTCCACTCCCAGCCGCGACTCAGCGAGGCTACGGGGAGCGATGGTTCCTGGTGAGCACCGTGCCCCCGCCCGAAGCCCCCGGCTGTGCCGTGAGTCCCGGGCACGGCTCGGTGCTCACCGCCTTCAGAGTCTCCTGCAGCGCTCCCAGCTCGGAAGGGTCGGGCCAGGCCAGCCCTGGCAGGCAGCTCACGTATTGCTTCTATGTGACACCAGGTAAGTCCCCAGGCCAAGTTTGGCTTCTCCTGACAAGAGCAAAGGCACAACGCGCCCTGCTCTGCAGGGACACTGCTCACGAGCGAACATGCCCTGAGTCCCCTGTTCTCAGAGAGCAGGAGGTGTCTGTGGTGTCTGCTCTCTGACCCTTCTTTCCTGTTCCAGATTCTCTCCTGGATTGTAGCCCGGATCCTGAACTCTTCCCAGTTTATCTTCCACTTGGAGAAGAGGAAAATAATTTTATTGTACATGTGAAAATTGTCGTTAGCAACAACGTTGGTGATACAGTTCAAACAAATGCTTCAGTGAAGGTACACAGTAGAATTAATTAGTTTCAAGAACTCTCAAGTGGATAACTAACCCATAATTGACTTTTGGAGTTTCTTCCTGTTTTAGATGTACTGCTTCCTTCTGAATGTGCCATAATCACCATTTTTCCACCTAACAGAGACTATTCTCTGTGTGCTCAAGGTCAAAAGATCTTCCACTGCCCTTTTTTTCTAGAACAAAAGTCTAAAAGAATTGTTTGGACATTGATTGAGCAGTGTAAGCCTATTTACTGAGTCTGGAATTATTCTGTGTAGGCCCCAAAAGCCTCCTGCTTCTTCCCCAGTGCCACAGTAAGGAGATCCTTATCACGCCATTAAAAATACAACATTTAAAATGGAGAACATGAAGTTTTATGTCCCACTCTATCTAGGCTGTTATTAAGATGATCATGGAAGCTGTTCAAAGAAAATTTTAACAGCTTTGGCAACGTTGAAAGCATATCTGATTCTTTCACCAGGTTGGACCTGCAGATATGATGGACGGGAACCTGACCCTGCAGGCTGTGCTATCTGAGAAGGCAAACACCATCCTAAAAGATGGGAACAGCAGCATGAGTCTCTTCCAACTGTACAAGTCAGTGACATCTGTCCTTAATCAGCAGATCCAAGAGGAAAGTTTTAACATGTCTTTACAGACAAACACACGAAAAGAGGTCAGAAAAACACTTGCTTTCTTGAAGTAAATGTCATATAATGGACTCTTCATATTCTTTGACAGCTCTTAAGTAATAAAAAGCTCACATATCACCACTTGAAATCAATGAAGGTTTCAAGTTTCTAGCATCTGTCTCAGTGTTTGGCACAGGTCTCAGCTAGTTTTCACTATTTGTCTACACAAATTATTTGTTTTATCATTCATCAGTAAAACAGTTAATTCTCAATTGTTATTTCATTAATTTAAACTAGTTAATCTAAACCTGATTTTCCCAATCAATTTAAATATCAATAAAATGGCATCTCCAGAGGGATAAATATCCTATCTAATTTCCCCCAAAAGCACTAGATGGCAGGTAATTTTCTTTAGTCCCTTTTAGCCACCAGTTGATGTTTCAGTCATAAGCTGATATTTGTACAGTGCTTTGAGTGCCTCAGATGAAGAGATCTAGAGAATGTATCCTTCAATTAAGATTCATTATTTGAATAACATCAATCACACATGGCTCTGCTTTCTCTGGAAGTGGCATTTACACAGTAATTCACATACATTAGTACAAATTCTCACAAGTAACTCTCCTTGCTCTTAATGGATGTTAAGTGTATGAATTCTCTATGCTGGGAGGTAACATAAAACTCGTGATTATGTAATTACTAGGGCAAGTGGCATCTTGTCAGTAGAGCTAATATAAGCTCAAATGATCTTTGTTGTGGAGTCTTACTCTACTGCATAACTTACAGCAAGCCTGGCTGTCAACGCACAGCACTACTTTCACAGTCCTAATTAGCATCTTATTCCTTTGCCTAATTATCCCTTTTCATCCCAAGCTCCGAGGGCTGATGCTGACAACACTCTCTGTTGTTAACATAACATCAATGCAGACTGCTCTGAAGATGTCAGAGGTATTGAAAGAAATCACTTACAGGAGTGAAGAGCTGTCTGTCTCAGCACAGGTAAGAAGCAATTCATCTTATATCTCCTCACACTAATAGTAGAGACTCTAATTATCCCACTGACCTTGGAAGAGTTTCAGTGCCTTATAATTATCTCTTCTCTTTTTTCAACTGTACCAGCATGTGTATTTTGACCAGCAGTATTTTGACTCTGTTTAGAATAAGTAAATTCAAGTCTCAGATATTGTCTCAGCAATCTCTACAATCCAGGCTATGACCATTACATTTAGCATACATTTTTGAGACAGAATCCTTAACTTTTAGTCAGAAACATGTCAGGGTGCATGTTTTCTCTTGTACAGCACTTTTAGAACCCTGAAGAAGAACTGCCCCAAGAGGGTTTTTCTAGAATTGCCCACATTCATTCATCCCTGATCCTGGCACTGCATAAAATACACATAGGCAATGGTCAAGGAACATGTCAGCACCCAGAGGAGCTGGGCACAAATGTGCAGGTTGGTCTCACAATAGTATCTCTTAAGTCCTGTCTGGGAACAAGGCATTATTAGTAGATGATGCTGTTTATGGTTACGGGGTGAGCATATGGCAGGACAGAACAAACTGTCACTGGGGGAAGTTTCCCAAATATGCAGGCAATAAAAACATCCTGATTTCTGATGTATTACAGAGTTGGAGCCAGACAATGGCTTGGGAGCATTTCAGCAGGATGTCGTTAATTTTGGCAAGACAAGAACACAGCTCAGATCCAGCCCTCACCCTACAGAAAGGTTGCTCAGCATTCACAGGCTGTGAGGATGGATGTGTCCAAGCCTGCAGTGAATTTGCTTGGCTCCTTCACTATCCTGGGCTAAAATCTGGCCAATGCTTTCCCAGTCCCAAAGCTGCATCCAGGCACAAAATAAAAATTGTAAAACTCATTCTCCTTTGGCACTTAGCACCTTGGCACTAAGATAGAAACTTATAACCTAATTTACTACTTTACTATATATCTAAAAGCTATTCTTGCCTAGGGTTTGACAGACAAGCTTCTTTCAGATTTATTCATCTTTTTATGGATTACATCTGTAGAAGCAGGCTGCATTTTTCATGCCTGTATTCCATTTTGGTGTACCATCTAGTATATCATCTTTATTAGCATTTGAAGTATTACCCCAGCACAAATAATTCTATTAAAGATGGCATTACCCACTATTAGTCCCAAAAGATTACTGCTGTTGCAATATTCAGTAAATGTCACAAGTGTCACTTCTGTCATTTGTAGTGCCAGCACATATAAACGGCTCCCTGTGTTTCTCCTGCAGGTGGAAGCCAGCAACACTCTGAGACATGTCAGTGCCTCCTTGCTCACTGTAAACACAGAGCACAGCAGAGATGGTCAGGAGTTAAAGGAAGCAGCCAACTATCTGTTTAATGCAGTGAGTAGTGTTCTTAAAGCTTCTGTAGAAATGAAAGCTGGGAACACTTCAGTGCCAGAGGCAAAACAGGTAATTTATATTTGGTCCAATTTGTACTGTACTGTGTGTGAATATTTGTTTGCTTTGGGAGGTTTTTAAAATCTCTGCTGTCTCTTGTATTTTTAAATTGCCACTGGGAAAGGTTCATTGTGACACCATGACAGACTTGAATATCAGAGGAAACTTCTCCCCAGTTAGACATGTTAGATTGAATATTTGTTAATGAAGATGATAGAGGCCTCTTACGATTTGTTACACTGAAAGCTGAACAGGACAGAGAACACAGCATCAGCTCTCACCTCTAATTGATGACAAGCACATTTTGATTTTTCTCAGATATGCTTCTATCCCCTCCTTTTGCCCCATAATTCAAGGAAGCCACAGGTATTAAATATTCATGATTGCCACCACTACTTCACAGCTTGAAGCAGCTCTGGTTGCTGCTGACACTTTTGCAGAAAGCTCTGATTATCTGTTCAGAAAGACACAACATATCTATTTTGTCCTACCATTTCCTATCTATATGTGAATTGTCACAGCTAACTGAGTTTCCTGGGCTGAACATACTTTAATTTTATCACTGCAAGGGAATAGGGATGAAATAAGTCCAACCTGAGAGAAAAGATTATCAACTGGACAAGTTTTCCAACAATAACCCACTAAAAATACACAATTGATAAGTAATTAGGTCTTGATTTTCCAAGTAACAAAACACTAACATGTGCAGCTAAGGGCATTAATACACAAAAGTACATTAATATATTTATTGATGTCATGCTTGTAATTTTAATATGTAGAAGTTATGAATACTACAATACAGAAGTAAAATCTGTAAGGCATTGCCACAATGAGAATTACAGAAACTGAATTGCAATAGAATAGCTTTCTCTGAGATTCGGAAGCTCATCACCTAGTTTGTCCGTTTAGTAAAACACCAAAATTAAATGGAAGCAATGACAAATAATGTGCAGCTTGATAATCCTGAGTACCTTTGTTGTAAGTTTCCTCCTCCAATTTTTTTCCAGAGTTCAGTGTCACACCAGCTCCTGAGTACAGTTGAAAATCTCCAGAGTGCCCTTCTGTTTGGGAAGGCACCAGGTGATGAGCCAACAGTCCTCAGCTCTCCCTCTGCCACAATGTACATGCACAGGTAAAAGCTGCAGTGTCCCCCACTGAAGCTTCTGACAGCTACAAATGTTAATTCCATTGTGCTTAAACACAATGTTTGGAACTAACTAAATACTGTAGCATAATGACAATTTCAGTAGTGCAACAAGTCTGTTGTTAGTGACTGATAGTAAGAACAGTTTGGACTCCAGGAGCATTACTTTAGAAATTCCCATGCTGTGTGTTCTTTAACCAGCAGAGAATTACTACAATTTCCTGAATGAGGCAGTAGTCACTTACTTTTGAAATTATGTAGCAAACTCGTGTCATACCAGCTAAGGGTTTCTTTTCTTTTCCAAGTTGCTAATAATGACATGTTATATGGAACTGTAAGCAGCTTGGCAGAAGCAAATATAATCCTGAGGAGCCTGACAAGCATTTTCCATCCCCTATAATCATCCCTAAATTGTTCCCTGAGAGGCTGGTTTTCATCCACATCAAACTGTGCATTCAAATCAAGAGCATGTTCACACAGAAACCAAGTCTTTCAAACAAGTACACCTTGGTAAAACCTCCTCTCCAGATGTGCCAATTCCACCCCCTTTTTGATGATTCTATGATAGCATTACATAGAGTACTGCATCAGAGACAGATTCATGTACAAAGCATTTACTGGCAGACTTAGAAATAGTTTTGCAAATAAGTTATATTCTTGAAGAGAGAAAGCTTTCTCTGTAGATATGAAGTACATGGTATTGATGTTTTGGTTTTTTCTGGTGGTTTTTTTTTTCCCCTTTTACTATTGTTTTTCTCTTTTATTCTGCTTTGGTCTTCCCCAACCCTAACTGGACAGATTACAAACACTAAACATGGATAGCACATCCATTAACATCTCCAATTCCAGCTCTGCCAGCTTTACTCTCCCACCTGCTTCCTCTCTCAATATTTCAGGAGTTGATGGTGAAACAGTGGATATAAGGGCAAGTAAACAGCTTTTATCTAACTCTATGTGATATCCAGCTTACATTCCTGATCTAATGCTTTTAGAATCATTTATCCTTTCACAAGGAATACACGAGCATGTGTCATTCCTCCTATCATGCCAAGAAAATTATTTGAAATTATTGGTCAAAGAAGCCTTCATTTATCTTAATTGCATGAGGTTGGTAGAGCAAGTTAAGGACAACTGAATTCTTAAATTCCCTATCCCATCAGCCCCTTACATACACTTTGATTCACACGTTCATGGCAGGAGCAGGGAATGGAATGAATCAAGACCTACACATCTGTTTGCTGTTTGTTTACATCTTATGGTCTGAGGAGGATGCAACAGCTCAGAGTCAATATCACGTTCAAAATAACCTACAGCAGCCTTCTTTCATCCCAGCAAGAAACACCCGAGTGTGGGGCACTTGGATCCTGCAGGAGACAAATGTGCTGATGGTAGCACGGCCCCCATTTGAATTAGGACATGGTGTTTTTTCTCTCAGAACAATAGATGGCATATATTTGTCATATTTTCATAATAAATTTTCTGAAGATCTCTCAGGAAACCCCTAAAGTATCTGCAAACATTTTTTTTTCATTTCACTTCACCTTTTCCAACTCTGCCGAAAAGGTGTCACACTGTATGGAAACAATAAAGATTGTTGTACACATTTCAGAATGAAAATCACTTTCAAGGTTTATAGACCCACCTTAGAGATAAGGTAGAGTATTATTTAAATCTGGATGCAGACTTCTTGGAAATCACCCTCTATTTGGGTCTGAGCTCTTTCTTTCATTATTCAGGAATTCAGGGTGTGAATAAAATGAAACATTGACAGTAGGTCAGTTGTCTGATTGCTAATGTCTCCTAACAGATGGTGAGCTTTGCCATGAATCCCTTTTTCTCCAGTGACAGCAGTTTTGACATCAGTGGAACAGTGGGAGGTCTAAGTCTCACTGGTCTGGATGGTTTGATCATACCAGTCAGCAACCTCAAAGAGAACATTGAGGTAAATCTACTTTTTCCTAACTCTCACCCTCTTTTCCCATTTTTTTCCTCTCTCCATTAACAAACTGTCATTTGTGTTATAATTTGTGAGGTGAACACAAATTCTGGTAGTGTTCATTACATTAGATAATGGGCTGATGCTGTCTGTAGTTGTCATGGAGGGATTTGTGTGAGGTGATGAAAAAAATAACAAATATTTCTGTCTTTTCTTGAAAAGGAGACATTTTATTCTTCCTTTAAATGAATGTAAGAATGCTAATGGTTGTGGGAATAGATTCCAGATTACAGTCATTCCAAAGCAGAATGTGAAGTCTGATTTCACCAACCAACTAGTGTATTTATTGAACACCTCTTTGGCTTCCTAGCCCATGTATAAACCGACAACTAAATCATTCATACATGCACTTTATGCAGCCAGTGTCTCAGTCATAATCACAGTCCTCAGTTCAGAAATGCACTAACCCTAACCCTAACCCTAACCCTAAAGCTAGGCTTTGTGATGAGTCTACACAGATTTCAACTTAATTTTTCAAAGGTTAGTTGACATTAAAAAGAAAATTACTCTGAAAGTGGTATTTTTGCTGGCCATGATTTCCTAATGTTATGAAAAAAAGATAATCTAGCATGTGGCTGCATGCTAAGAAGAGAAATGTTTTTCTGTATTTAAACCTATGTCTTTTTGCCTAAAACAGATCATGTTACCAAGGCTTTCAGCAACTCAGGAAGATAAGATTCTGTTGAATCTGGGCAATTATAGCACTTTTCAAGTCAATATTACCTCAGAAAACACATCTATAGTGATTCATCTGGAATCTGAACATGACATTTCACTAATACTTTACTTGGGGTATGGTTATCACCCAAATGAAACCAACTATGATATGAAAAATCATCTGTTCTATAAGAAAACTTCTGGAGGTAAGAGAAGTGGTTAGTGACTCATGAACTTGCAGAATGAGACTTGACCATGAGTTCAGGTGTCTAGCTGGAAAGAAACCTCATGCTTCAAATTTCCAATCTCTTGAATAAAGTGTTAAATAACAGGAGGAAAGACTGATTTGATTAATGAGTTGCTAAGAATGAATTCACACCTGTTTCTTTGGTTCATTTATTACATGCATGCTTGTGAATTAGCCTTTCTATATATACATTGAAAAGAAAATATTTATGTTCAAGGTGACATGAACAGCTGGGTTCTCAGCCCAGAAGAACTCATTTTTGGAGAGGGAACCTACTATTTCATGGTTTTACAAGATATGGGAGTAGATTCAACAGTCTACAATGGGCTAACCATAAATGCCACTTGCTTTGCATCCCACTGTGTATTTTGGGACGAGCACCAGAAAAGCTGGAACAGCTATGGATGTCATGTAAGTAGAGCAAAACAAAACAATGTGTCTGTTACACACTTCAAAGCCAGCCCTCATAACCACCATCTGTAGTAACTGACACCATGAAATAAGATCATTCTGAGATGTTTTAAGAAACTCAAGAAGTTTAGTCATATTGAACTAACCTTTAAACAACATTCCCATTTCTTGGGATGAATTTCTATGTAAGAAGAAACGGAACCATTCTGACAAGGCCATAATGTATTGTAATGCCTGTTACTGGTTAGGTGTTAGAATTAATATTCTTTATTGGAACTTGAACAATTTGGTGTGCAGCAGTTCTCTACACTAACTTACCCATCTCAGCACTGTCTTTTCATTTGCTTGGTAAGTCATCTAATGCTTTGAAGCAGGTGTTTTATCAGAAATCTTTTCTGGGTTTCAGGTAGGACCAAAAACAAATCCTAGCAGCACACAGTGCCTCTGCAACCATCTGACCTTCTTTGGGAGCTCCTTCTTTGTCATACCCAATGCCATAGATGTCAGCAAATCAGCACAGCTGTTTGGTACATTTGTGGACAATCCTGTGGTGGTGACAACTGTAGGATGCATTTTTCTGATATATGTGCTTGTAGTTATTTGGGCTCGAAGGAAAGACATCCAGGATAATGCCAAAGTAAGTCTTCAGCTAAAAAAGTCAATGTATTCAGGTCAATTCCCACCACACCTAGCCTGTTTTAATAGGAAGTCTTTAACCAATCTTACTCCTTTTCCTGTAACTCTCTGTTTACTGGTAAGTAAACATTGTTCACAAGATCACAAATTCCTACTCACAGCTTTCAGGAATCTGTACTTACAGAACAGCTAACACACTGCCCATGTTGTGTGGCTCTGCAGGTGAAAATCACAGTCCTGGAAGACAATGACCCCTTTGCTCAGTATCGTTACCTTGTGACAGTTTTCACAGGACACCGCCGTGGTGCAGCCACAACCTCCAAGGTATCAGTGCACTGTGTGGGAGGAGTTTATTTGCTTAGAGAACTGGATGAATAACAGAGCACCTGAGGCTATTGAACAGGACAGCTGAAATGCACTGTCTGGCCAGAAAGCCTTTAGGTTTGAGGAAAGGAAAAATAATCACACTTAGGATGGAGATGTGCAAATCTTCATTTTGCCTTTTTATTTTCCAGGTGACTCTCACCCTCTATGGACTGGATGGAGAGAGTGAGCCCCACCATCTAAATGATCCTGATACACCAGTCTTTGAACGTGGAGGAGTGGATGTTTTCCTCCTCTGTACCTTCTTTCCTCTTGGGGAACTACAGAGTATTAGACTGTGGCATGATAATTCAGGGGACAGTCCATCCTGGTACGTGGAGGTCTGGAGATGCTGGGAAGTAAAAATCCACGAAAAACTTTTTATAATGACAACAACTTTCCCTTTCTAGCACTTGAAAACTATCCTTTCTGCAGTTCTAGAAAGAAAAAAGTGTTAGATTCTAGTATTTGCAGCTGAATAGACCAAATCACTGCCTAAAGTGGAAGACCAGGAGTGCTTCCCATATTCCATGTCCAGTACAAGATGGGATATGTCCTGTGCCTTACAGTTTAGTCATCCCAACTAGCTGAAGGCCAGAGTTTGTCCTCCACAGTCTTGTTGAGCTCTGGATTTCACACACTCAGTGGTATGTGACTGTGCCCTGTGTGTTTTTCCAACAGGTATGTGAATCGAGTATTAGTCCATGACCTGGCATGGGATCAGAAATGGTACTTCCTCTGTAACTCTTGGCTAGCCATTGATATTGGAGAATGTGTCCTAGATAAAGTGTTCCCAGTAGCAACAGAACAGGACATGAAGCAGTTCAGGTACCTCCTATTTCTTGGATTTTTTTTCTCTTGATAGCAGTCAGTCTGGAAAAACAAGCATTAAAAAAACAGACCAAAGCCCAAGTCAAAAATGAAAACCAGGAAGGTCTTTCCACTGTCCTTAAAGGGCTCAGAATAAGGGAGAGAGGGAGGATGGTTACATAAGTCATTACCCTAATAGTAGTACCATACTGCAAATGTTGGTGCTGAAGAAGGATAGCCTGACAAACCTACAGAAACCCAAACATCTTCTCTTAAGTGTAATTTTCTTAACAATTTAAATAGGAACTATTTGCTTTCTCCCCTATGCTGTGTCAAAAGAAAAGGACATAAGTAGCTATGACCATTCCATGCAAATCAAGCCATGATATTTGATCATTTCTCCTAGTTATTACTTCTGCTGATAGTGCCTAGAAGCATAAACAGATTGGGACCCTGAACTAGGGCTTTGTTCTTCCCTCTCCTTTCTATGCATCCATTTGATTTCCCTCTTCTCCTTCCCAGCAATCTGTTTTTCATGAAGACCTCCAAGGGTTTCCAGGATGGGCACATCTGGTACTCAGTTTTCAGCCGCTCCCCTCGAAGCTCCTTCACACGAGCCCAGCGTGTGTCCTGTTGCTTCTCACTGCTGCTCTGCACCATGCTGACCAGCATCATGTTCTGGGGTGTGCCAAAGGATCCTGCTGAGCAGAAAATGGATTTGGGTAACAATCCTCGCCATTGCTTGGGCAGACAATTAGAGAGACAGCAGAATCTGGAAGCAAGAGTTGATTAAATGGGTTTTTTCACAAGAAAGTGATTTGATGGTTTATTTTGGCTGGGGTTATTTTTTCTTCTCTGCTCTGTTTGACCTTGACAGGTAAGATCGAGTTCACATGGCAGGAAGTGATGATTGGCTTTGAGAGCTCTCTCCTCATGTTCCCCATCAACCTGCTCATTGTGCAGATCTTCAGGAACATACGACCCCGGCCAGCCCAGCAGAGCAGAGAGAAGAAGCCGGGGAAGAATGGCCGAGTGTCCCCAAGCCTGCCTTCCACTCCAGAGGCCTCCCAGGCTGCCTCTCTCACTCCAGAGGCTGTGACAAAGGCAAGTCCCAGTGCGTCCTGCACTGCCCTCTGCTGCCACATACCACCGGTTTGCCCAGCTCCACAAATTTCCCTGTTCCGATGCCCTTCAGCCTGTCTGAAGAGAAAAGCCAATTACCACTGGTGCAAAGTGCTCACCTAAATGCAATCCTTCATTAAAGTCTGCCTTTGTACATCCCAGCCCTTGCACAGTTATTGTGTGTGACCAAATCACTGTGTTCAAGAGTTAAAGCAAACACTAAGCAAGACAGTAAAGATAAAAGGTATCACGGACCACATCTTTCTCAGCTTAGGTCCTCAGGCAGGCATGCTGCCCTTTTGAACCACAAAAGCTGCCTTGCTGAACTCACTGAAATCTGCCTGTCACATCCAGCACTGTAGGATGTGCTATTCTTATCCATTCTGGAGATTTTAGCAGTTGGTGCAGCTCCCAGACAGTGGTACTGTCAGATCACATCAGCTTAAGCCACTGCAGCCAGAGTCACTGCTGTGTTGCTGCTGTCTTTCCTAGGACATAAGAAGAATTGCCAACTCACTCTTTAAAGCCCTGAAGACTCCATCTCTCACCTCAGCACCAGACCTTGAAAAATCAACTAATATCAACTCACTCCTGTCACTGGTTGAGGATGTCATCTGTCAGCAGAACAGAGCTGGGCAAGGGTTTTATGATGACAGCAAGAAGGACGGCCCTATAATTGTCACATTGGGTGCTATGGATGTCCAAGGTAAACAACACACTCTGAAATACCTGTTGAAACCCTTGCAATGAAAATTATGATAGCACTGGATGTGATGACCCAAGTCCTTCTCACATTCTGACTCAAAGGCAACTACAGAATCACAGAATAGCTGAGGTTAGAAGGGATCCATGGATCCCACCACACTGCTCAGAGCAGGGTCAGCGGGAGCAGGACTGCCCAAGAGCAAATCAGCCAGATGCTGAATGTCCCCAAGGATGAAGACCACAAATTCTCTGAGGAACCTACTCCAGTGTCCAATATCTACATTTTTTCTTATGTTCAGAAATTTCCCATGTTTTAAGATGTGCCCATTGCCTCTTGTTCTTTCACTGCACCACTGAGCACCCAACTAAGTAAAGACAACTGTGAAATCTCTGTTTCTTATGCTGTAGAATCAAATGTTTGCTACCAGTCTGGCTTGGGAGCTGGATCAGCATCTACAAATGAAAAGACTCACAAATACCAGTTTTTTCACAAATTCTTTGACCTGTCTTTTTTTTTTTTTTTTTTTTTTTTTTCTTCTTGGCCTTGTGCTGCTGTTCCTTTCAGTCTGCCTCTCAAACAGAATATATGAGAAAACAATCTCACTGATTTCATTAAGACTCACATTTAGCTTTTCCAGGGAGTCTTCCAAGGTACTAATTGCATATGTAAACCATGAACAAATTAACAGTTGATCTGATCTGACCTGTCTATTAAGATTTTAGGAATGCTGTTTAACTCAGTTGCTTTCTGGAAAAAGTTCCAGGCCATTCCAGCAGAAGAGCATTAAAGCATTAAGCTCTAGTACTAAAGCTGCTTTTACATGTCTTTTCATATGTTAGTCTTCATCACATTCATGATTTTCAGCTCCAGAGAAACCACCCTTTGTACTGAGCAGTGTTTTAATCTATTTATTTTCTCAACAAATAAATAAATAAATAAATAAATAATTCTTTGCCTGCAGAAAAAACAAGTCCAACTCCAGAGAAGAGAATTTGTGACCAGCTGAAATACAGTGATTACCATCGTTGCTTGTACCTGCAACTCCAGCATGTAGAGATGGAGCTGGAATTACTGGGGCCCCATAAATTTCAGATGCCTCAGAGTTACACACAAGCTGTTTGTCAGGTTCAGCACATGAAGAACCTCCTGGAGAACCAAATCTGTTCATCAGCATCCATCAGTGAAGGGTAACCCAGTTCTCATTCTAAGTATAAGTGAATTCAGGTCATGAATTCAAAATTGGACAGGATGACAGAGCCCAAATAATTACTGCTTAGCATGTGCTAGATAACTATTATTACATCTGTAAAAAGAACTCTTACTATTATACCACTGCAGGAGCTACAAAGAAATTTCCATGCACTGTGAACTGCAAACAAAGGCAATAATGACAGATCATTGCTGTTTGTCATTTTTGCCTCCAAAGTGGAAAGTTACAATAAATGCTATGTGATAGTAAAGGGCTGGGATAATCACCCAGCTCCAAAGTCACAGAAGTCTCTTAAAATGTATGGATAAAGAAAAATTAATAAGCAGACAAAAATAGTTCAGTGAAATATGATAATTAAGTTGGAAGTATTGAAAACAATTGCACTAATTATGTCACTTGGCCATTATGGTGATCGCAAGAGAGGCATTCAGCAGCTTTAATGCACTCATAGCTTTGTCAGTAATTCTACTGGAGATTCAATTATGCATGAACTGAGGAGTAAAGAAACCCATCACATTTATTTTGATTTTAGCTGATCTCTGCACACTTCTTCATTATGGTTTCTCACTGTACTTTTTGGTATCCATATATCCTATATAACCGCATTAATTAAAAGAATATTTTGATTTTATATCATAAGATGCTGCCTATTCCCAGTGAACCTGATGACTGTGATTTTGGTTAATGTTCCATCACAGAATGATTTTTTTCTCTTCTTGTTCACTCTCAAGGTGGTCCCATAGTCCAAACTTGTCCAGTGATAACAAGAAAAGTTCTCCTAGAGGGCTGCCCTGGTGGTTTGTGTTCATTGCTTGGTTCCTTGTGGCAGCCACCAGCAGTGTGTCCGGGTTCTTCACCATGCTCTACGGACTCCATTACGGCAAGGAGAACTCCATCAAGTGGCTCATCTCCATGGTCATCTCCTTCTTGGAAAGTCTTTTCATCACACAGCCCTTAAAGGTGAGAACCTCAGAAATACAACCACCAGTCAAGATGAACTCACCTGCTGCCATTGCAGGAAGACAATGTAAAATGTTCTAAAAAGCTGCAAGATTTAAGATATAAAATGAGAAGTCTTTGCCCTTAAAACAAGAGCAGGCAGGTGATTTGGAGTTCTGATGGTTTTTGCTGACATTAGCTCTATTAGTTTCATCTCCCTTGCTTTGTCAGGGTTTAATGAGGTTTCTGACTAGGGAGGATGTGTCACAGAATCAGTTTAGCTGGACAAACCCCAGCACTGTGAACTCTTCTCTTGTTTATGGGCTGCATGGGTTCAACAAACCCAAAGCACAGTTGTTTTCCTGCAGTGCCTGGATGCAAAGGGATCCAGGTCAAAGCCTGAGCTTCTTTATATGAAATATGGGAATATGGTGAGTCTATAACTGATTCTTTCCAGGTGCTGGGATTTGCTGCTTTTTTTGCTCTGGTTCTGAAGAAGGTGGAACATGAGGATGAAGAAAACACAGCTATTGATGGACCTTTATCTGCACCAGGTAACTGCCTGCAAAGTTAAAAATATTAAAGAAAGTGCAGAATTCTCCAAGCTTTTGGAGTTTCTTTATGAATGAATACTAAGCTCAACTGGCTTGCAATAAAAGCTGTAACTATTCCACAACTTAGTTAAAATAAATAAGTGACCAGTAAAAAATTCACCCTTCATGTAGACTGGTAGGTCTTTATTTGACAAGCATAACTAAAACCTCTCACAAAGAAACTTCCCACATCCTTTAAGCCCTGTATGGATGTTCTCAGGTTACATACTTTTCCACAGCCACAATTATCTGTATTATTCCCCTAAACTGAGCAGTGGCTTCTGCAGTCATAATCATATCTAAATAAATCCTTCACTAGCAGACATGAATCCTAGGGCACAGCAAAGTTATCTGATCTACAGCTTCCTCCCTGCTCAGCCTCAGGCTATGAATACACCACCTTCTGAGATGCCCAGCCTAGAGAGACACCTGGACCACGCCTGCTCCTAAACCCAACACAGTTTTTGTGAGCTCCTTCCCTCCCCACTGTTTGCCTTACAATTGCTATAGTAATTGTTTAAATCACATCCTCTGTATTCCTGAGGGAAAGCATTAGATAAAAATGTTTCCTTAGATGCTCCAAACAAACAAAAAGCAGGACATGGATATCAATTGACTAATTCCAGGTTTCACTGCTCTCCCTCACAGGTGATTCACACCCTCTCTTCGGGGTCAGAAGGGACAGTAGAAGCAACATTTACCGGCCACCTCCTGCGGCTGATGTGGAGAAAATGAAAATCAGCTACATGAAGGAGCAGAAAGCATTTGCCCTCATCAGAGAAATCCTGGGTATCACCCATATGTAGATTATCTTGTTTTATTCAGTAATACTCATCAGTAATTTTACATCAGTGAAAATATTGTTCTCTTGGGTGACAAAGTTTTGGCATATCCTCAGCTTTCTGCCAGCCGTTATGATGTAGAGACAGGCTGTTCCCTGGCAGCTGGAGCTGCAGGGAGGTGGGAATGTTAGCTGGAGCTAAAAGTGTGGCTAAGGCTTCATTTTATAGTAAAGAAACACATCACAAACATAAGAGATTAAAGAAAAGCAGAAAGGATAAAAGGAGGAGGTGCACATGAAGCTGAAAACAAAGAGCAGATGGAGGCTATCTTTCTAAAAGCAGATAGTATCAACAGATAATGATTTATGCCCCTGTTTTATTTCCTCTAAAATCAATGGCAAAAAAAAACATAATAAAAAACCAACCTCAACTGCACTTAGAACAGAGTTAGACTAGTCATTTTATTTGGAGCTACCATGACTAAACTTATGCAGCCTTCCAACTTATTTTCTTGACTGCTACTCATATTCCAAATGTGAAACACTTAAACTGCAGCTCACTGAAGCAGCTTGGGTGCATTCCTTAGCACTGGTCAGTCAGAATCTACAAAGCACCTCCTTGGCCTAATGGCTGCTGGCAGCAGAAATCATTCATGCAATCTGTGCTGAACAGCATTGTTAAGCCAGAGCTCACATGTGCTGTCTCTTTCTGATTTTTTTCCAGCCTATCTGGGTTTTTTATGGATGCTGTTACTGGTTGCCTATGGGCAGAGAGATCCCAATTCCTACTATTTAAACAAACACATTGAAGACAGCTTTACAGATGGATTCCACGATGTCTACAGTTACCAGGATTTCTTCACGTGGGCGAACACTACTTTACTCAAAAATCTTTATGGATCTTATAAAGGTGCAGAGTCATATTGTTTCCCTTCAACTTGCCAGATTCTAAAACATTATTTTTAGTACTTATCTTTAACTTTCATATTTGAGTGGAGAAAGGGACTGTGAGTGTATGAGGCTAGCAAGGAATCTTGTAATATGAATACCCGTGGATAACAAATCCCCACAGTTTGACCCCAAGTTAAACATCCCTTAATATTTTCCTTATATTTAATATAACCTAAAAGTTCTGTACTGCAATGCTAAATGTTTCACATTTTACATTACTTATTGCAGATATTTGGATATATCCTCAATTTTTCACAACTGTTTTTCCATAAATTAAAAAAAAAAAAAAAAAAAAAAAAAAGAAAAAGAATGGCAGACAGGTGGCACCATAAAGCTTTTCCTCAGGAGAGTTGTTTGCATCATGACTTGGGTCAATGTGAAGGCAAATTATGCAGCACTAGCATGTTTCTATCCAGCCATATCCAGTAAAATATGACTCATTTTCCAGCTCACATTTAAGGGCAAATATTGAAATATATTAGCAGAGTTGTTCTTTGGACATGACAGGCCACAAGAACACTGTATAAAGCTACTCACCTATTGGACCTGAGGTGAGTCGCTTTTCTCCCCCAGGCCTCACTTTCCCTGTGTATAAAATACTGATGGGGGTGACACAGAACTCTGTTATTGTGAATGTTATTTAAGAACTCAGTTCAAATCAATATGAGGGTTTCATTTTCATGACTATTTTGCTTACAGCGTTTCTGAGAAAAGAATATGTGGCAAAATATTAATGCATCAGTGAATCATAAATGAAATGAAGAAATATTATTAATTTTGTAATACTGCCAGTGCTGCTCTTTTCCATCTCCTGTTTAGGATTCATTACAGATGGCAATTCCAAGCTGGTGGGTAGTGCTCGAATTCGCCAAGTAAGAGTGAAAGGAGACACCTGCCCTATTTCTCCCAGACTCCAGCACGTAGTTGAGGAATGCCATGCTCCATACTCCTTACAGACAGAAGATACATCAGTTTATGGGGAGCACTGGAATACCTCAGCCCTTGATAACTCCTCTGAGTTGAGCTCAGCATGGCAGTATCAGAGTCAGTCCAAGCTGAGAGGACACCCCAGCTGGGGTAAACTTGCCATCTACAGCGGAGGGGGATATGTGATTCACCTGGGAACTGACCCTAAAAACGCCTCCAGGTACACTTGTGTTCTTGTAAATTATCAGTGCATCCTCCATGTAATACTCTCTCATTCCTGTGCGAATTAGATCACTGGCTACACATTCTTTTGGCAGAATTCTCCAGTACCTTTTCAACAATGTCTGGCTTGACACCTTCACAAGAGCAGTGTTTGTTGAATTTACAGTCTACAATGCCAACGTGAACCTGTTCTGCATTATAAGCCTGATGTTTGAAAGCAATGCTTTAGGTGAGAGCCTTTCCTAAGTTACACATGTCTGAAGACAGCAAGAAATGCACCTACAGAAGGTAGATTTACACACTATCAGTGTTTTCCTGGTTCTTTCTTCAGAAAACAGAAGTGTATTAATAAATCAAATCATGAGAGAATCAATGCACATTTTCTAAACCTTTTAGGAAAAATGCAGCATCACAGTAATATAGACCATAATGGAATATCTTATGTTTGCTTATGCTGTGGTCATCTGCTGATGAAGAAAACATGACACTGAAACTTGATCTCAAGAATTTACACAACAGGAACAAGAAAAATTCTGTTTCCTAATCACTTCAGCTAATCAATACAATATTAGGACAAAAATGCAAATAACAGTCTGTCTTTTTTGTTCCTGATGACTTCTAATGTCCAGCTATGTAATCATGTAATACATAATCTGGATACAACAAAGAGAAGAGTGAAAGCATATTCTGGTTTAGAGGCTATAAGAAAACATTTAGTCTGAGCAGCAGCCTCCTTAGGGTGTGTCCAAGTATTGGAAAATGCCCGAACTGATCTCATTTTGGGTTTAGAATGAGATTCAGCTTTTTAAAAAAATTTCAAGTCCTCCTGCTGTATTTCTGTATCTGCAGTCCAATCCAAACTCAGTCCTGCTGGGCTTACTATTATGCTATCACACAAGACTCAAGCAGACAAGCACTACCACTCTAAAAGCCTTGATTCTCTGAAATTCCTGTTTGAGGAAAATTTCAAACCCTTATAGGGTTACTCACATAGTCAAATCTAACTCTTAGTTTGATGGTTGAATTTAGCCTCACGCTGATGTGAAAGCAAGTACAGAAGTCTCACTGGTGAGCTGAGTTGTTTGAATGAAGGCAGAAGGAGCCCTGAGGTGACCCCTCTTTGTTTTTCAGGGGCCTTCTTCACAAGTGCAGAGCTGCAAAGTGTCCGGCTGTACCCCTACACCGACAGCCTCCACATCTTTGTGGTTGCAGCAGAAGTCATTTATTTCCTCTTCATTGTGTACTACATGATAGTACAGGTGAGGCCCACTGGAAAGTCTGCCTGAGAGCATTACCTTGTGCCTGCTGTTGATTTCACTTACAAAAGCTTTAGGACTGTACTTGATTTCAGTAGCACTGATGCTGTTACACCAATGGAAGATTGAATCAAGTACAGTGTCAGTATTAAATAATAAGAAGGCAACACTTTATTTGGCTTGAATGCTGGTTTTGAGAAAGATAAGAGCTGAATAGGTTGAATAGTTTGAATAATTTGAATAGTTTGAATAGATAATAGAAAGATAATGAAGATACTAGTGCAAGGTGTAGTTTTATTAATGCAGAGCAGTCTGCTTTATTGTGGAGGGCATTGTCCTAATCTTCAGAGGTGCATTGTGTGATATGGAGTCATGAGATTGAAACAGTAAAACTCCTCCCAGGGAAAGCTGCTGAAGAGTCTGAGATGGAGATACTTCCACAGCAAGTGGAATCTCCTGGAGATGGCCATTATATTGATTAGCTGGAGTGCTCTGTCAGTGTTTGTGAAACGGACAGTCCTTGGGACCAGGGACATCAGCTACTACCAGGAACACAAGGAGGAGTAAGTACTAATGCTATTTAGTGCATCCTTTGTTGTTGCTCCTTATGCAGAAATAAATCTATTTTTCTTCTTCCCAGATAGCACCTTTTCCATGCTAGATATTGCTATCCTAGATGGTTACTTATTCATGAAGCCTGTAAGTGTGTCAAGGCTTAGATTTGTGTCAGCAATAGGATTCTCTTCTGATACTGCTCCAATAAAATCCAGCAGACTTGAGCACCAAGTTCCCTTCCTGTCTGCATCATCCTCTTGTGAACCAACAAGCCTTTCTGCTACAGGACATCCAGCCAGAAAGCACATAATCTGCCTTGTTCTTTGTTGTAAAAAGCCATTGATTAGAGGATAATAATGAAATATTTAGTGCAGAATGGAAAATTATAACATCTTTAAAAAAATGGTCATACAGGAAAGAGATTATAGAATCACAGGATAATGAACAGAATTTGGGCTACAGCCTCGATCTCCTCTTCTTAAAAATCTTAGCCATGCAAAACTGAGTTTTTTGTGTGCACACAGTAGGAAGTGCAGGTGGGAACACTCAAGCATGAACTCATCAGGTCTCTACTGAAATCCCAGAACAGGGTGACTGGCTTTTCCAGTACACCCATTTATGCACTTCAAAGGATTCTGTGTGCATGGTATATTATGTATTTTCCTTTTTTTCCTAACAGGTCCATAAGCTTCAGTGAAACAGCAAGAGCTGATGCAGTTCTTGGCTACCTGATTGCATTCCTGGTGCTTCTCTCCACAGTGAAACTGTGGCATCTGCTGAGGCTCAACCCTAAACTGAACATGATCACTTCAACTCTAAGGAGGGCATGGGGTGATATCTCTGGATTCATCACTGTTATTGCAATCATGTTCCTTGCCTATTCCATTGCTGTGAGTACCATGGTAATTTCTCTTGTCTGCAGTCTGCTCCCAGGTACTGTTGGGTTAAATCAATCAATTTTGAATTCCAAAAGCAGCATACCTTTGCCATGTAAAATGGAATAAAGCTGCCTATCTATATCTTAGTTCAGCAGCTTGGAGCCCAAGTCTTCCATATGAGTGAAAGAGAAATTAAAACGTCCACTCTGTTCTTTGCAAACTGAAATTTAGTGAAAAATCAAACACTGAACTGAAAAATAAGGACTCTTTATGTGTAATAGATGTGACAAGGAACGAAGTACAGGAAAAAAGATTTTCTGGATAAAGCTTAAATTGTGGAGCATTCAGGAAGTGCCATTTTCTGTTTGGTTAGTTTGTAAGTGGGAAATAATTATCATTTTTACATATCTAGTGGCAGGCTGAGCAGTTACAAGACATTCTCATATCCATGATAAAAGGTCTTCAAGTTAAACATACTTTGCAGCAAGGGCTCTGATCATGACACAAGACATAGCTTCTGTCCTCTGCAGGCAAATCTGATATTTGGCTGGAAGCTCTACTCTTACAAAACCCTCCTTGATTCGGCAGAGACCATGGTCAGTCTTCAGCTGGGAATCTTCAACTATGAGGAGGTACCACATCTAATTCTGAGAAGTTTACAGCCATACAACTGGCATCTCAGCTATCAAATATGCTTTGACCCAGCAAATAGGACTTTCAATTAGTGTTAAACATTAATCTAATTTTGCAAGCTCCACAGCTCCCTAAAGCAGTCCCCTTTCTGAGCAAGACAAGGACAGCAAGTGAAACCTCCTTCATGTTCTATTTTGACCATGAGGAAGCTCATAATGAACCTTTCATTAAGAATCTTGCTCAAATTTCAACTAGAGCTGTTACTAATTGATTACAAAACGTTTTGAGCAATTTCCTTAGAAAGCTATAGATAGAAATGTGAAGAAACCCTGTGTTTCTTCTGAACACACCCTCTGTCTTCCCAAGAAAGGCAAGGCCTTCCACAAGGGAACTTTGTATTAATTTTTTTTTATTATTCTTTATATAACATTTTTTTAGTAAGATCTTTCAAATATTTCAATATCCTTTGAAAAATTCTTTGTGGATTAATTCTTGGACATCTCTGACTGTGAAGTCCTCCTTGGTGGATGTTTTTAGACCATGGATCCAATAGGATATGGGTAGCTTTGAAGATCAGTAATTTGGCACATTTTCACCTCTACATCCCACTCATATTAATAATTAAAATATACTCCTATGTTGTAGCTTATATAAAAATTAGTGTTTTGATTTTTCACAACCCTTGGTTTATAAGTGTCTCTGACAGTCTGACTGTGCTTATTTGTAAAGCATACAGTAAAATGAATGAAATGCATACAGGGATTTCACCTATTTTGAAAGCTGAGGCATTAGAAGTTTCAGCTGTTCTGTGGATAAACAGATCTCCAGGCTTGTCAACTTTCATGTGAAACTGTCATACCATTACAATTAAATGCAAATACTTAAAACCCCCCAAAGACTGCGCATATTCACACACATATATCTAAAATATTCTGTTGTCTTTGTACTATATCATATCAACAAAGGACAATACTAGAGTAGAAAATGTATACATGTGTATAACACATATGTCATAATTGATTAGACACATGATTTTCAAGGTGATAGACTTCTTATTGGGTCTTAACTGCTTGTACGTATGTAGATAGGAATGTATGCTTTTTTGTTTGTTTTTTGATGTCTTACCTTATGCATTATACAGGTCTTGGACTACAATCCAATTTTAGGCTCCTTCTTAATTGGATCCTGCATCATTTTTATGACATTTGTGGTACTGAATCTGTTCATTTCGGTGATTCTGGTTGCTTTTAGTGAGGAGCAAAAGCATTACCAGGTTTGTTCATCTAAGCTCTCTAGCTTTTAACATTTTTTGCTCAGTGCTTACTCAGGTATTCAACCATGGATGAAAGCCATGAAAATTCAGTCCAACTCTTAAGAAGGCAACATTTGCTCAGAAAGTACACTTCAGATTTTTCAGATATACACTGTCCATTCCTGTTCAGATGAGTCCCTGCTCAGATGTGATTTGTAGCCTTCTGTTCACATACTTCATCCATCAAAAAACTCAGGCTTGTGCTGGGCTGTATTGAAATCAGTGCCAAAACTGCTACTGAAGTGCATGAGGCTTTACAGCTCCTTTTAAAACTCTCACTGTGAGTGCCTGACCCGTTCAAGCTATTGATAGTGTGGTGTGAAATCCATCTTAACACTCCAGTACTGCCCAGAATTCCTCTATGTTTTAAAAAAAGTCAAGGGAGATGAAAACAAAGGATATGGTTGATAGAATACAATATAAATCTAGCTTTTCTTATTTACTTCATCTTGAAATTGTGGGTGTCTCATTGTGTATACCACAAGCTGTATGGGAGCTGGTAAGTGCACTCCTGGCTCCTGTAGAGAGATTTCCATGGGATTTAACAGCCAAAATTTCTGTAGTGTCCACACTCATCTGGGGTTCTGTCTGGATAAAAATACTGGCACAATGTTTTGCTTGGCAGTCACTCATGCTCTGCTGAAAGTTGGTTTATTTCACCTCAAGCAGAGATTTTGTCTCGCAACTTGCCATGGCTTCAGCAGAGACTCAATCCAATTTGAGACTGAATCCTCTGAGTAACTCATTTGTTATTATTTCAGGCTTCAGAAGAAGAGGAGATTGTTGATCTAATGCTAATGAAAGTCTTCAGTTTCTTTGGGATAAAATGCAAGAAGGAAGAGAAGCTGGTCACTGGCGAACAACTGGAGCAACCTGTCAGCGAGTGAAGGAAGACCACCTTGAAAAGTCACTTTGCTTCTGGGCAAATTATTTACTTGTTTGCTATCAGCTGCACTAGTTAGTTATGCTAGGCTATAGGCTTAGGTTATTACAGCTTCTGATTAAAATGGGTTTACCCAAGGGAATGGCTGGAGCTGTGGCAGGGGAAGTTTGTGTTGGATACTAGGAGAAGGTTTTTTCACCCAGAGGGTGTTCGGGCACTGAACAGGCTCCCCAGAAAATGGGCAGGCCCCAAGCCTAAGAGAGCTCATGAAATATTTGGACAATGCTCTCAGGCCCATGTGGGATTGTTGGGGTGTCTCTGCAGGGCCAGGAGTTGGACTTCAATCCTTGCGGGTCCCTTCCAACTCAGCCTGTTCCGCGATTCTGGGAAAACGACGCGGTGTTCACCCCTAAAGTGGTGCCGGCACTATTCTGGAGTAATAGCTAAGAAATAGCGGCAACCCGAAGGCGAACCGTCCCACGTGCACTTGCTGTAGACTTGGCCCCTGTATTTATTCAATAAATAAGCGGCTGTTGCACTGTCTGCATAAATCCTCTCCGTCTCCTCCGCGGCGGCGCACGGAACATGGCGGCTGCCCTCCCTCAGGGCCCCGCGCCGCTGCCGGCGGGCCGCGGAGCCGAGCCCGGGCCCGGGCCCGGGCCGCTCCCCCAGGCCCGCGGGTCCCCTCGGCCACCGCCGGCCCCGCCCCGCCGCCATCGCCACCTCCTGCCGGCACCGCCCCTGCCCGCCCCCGGCAAAGATGGCGTGGCGAGCGCTGCGGCGGGTCGGGCCGGTGCTGGCGCCGCGCTGCCCGCTCCTCTCGCTGCCGCCGCGGGAGCCCGCGGCCCGCAGGCTGGGCACCAGCTCGCTGCTGCTGGCCGGTGAGTGGCGGCCCGAGGGAGGGAGGTGCGCGGCGGGCGGGCGGGACAGCGGCCCGGTGCTGCGGGGAGCCGGTGGTGCTTGTGGAGGGTGGGCAGGGTGGGCTGTGGGGGCTCGCCCCGGCCCAGCCCGCGGGGGAGCCCCCGCCAGCCGCGACTGGGTGCGCGGAGCGGCCGGAGCGCGGGTCCCGCTGGCGGCCCCGGGCGGCAGCCGTCCTCTCTCCCTCTATCTCTCCCTCCTCCCCTGCCTCCCGCCGCGCCGTGTCCCGGCGGCCCCTCGGAGCGCGATGCTGCAGCCGCCCGGAGCCCCCCGGTGTCGGCGGGGCCCGGAGAAGCTCGCAAGATGGCTGAACCCCCGAGCGCCCCTCACCTGCCCCGGACGCTGCTGGCGCTCCCGACCCCGCTCCCACAGGAGAGCTGCACCTCCGTTAGTTGGCTAGAAAGTTTTAACCTCATCTCCACACTTTGAGCAAAGCGGCTCAGTCCCCTCTGGTCTCAGAAAGGCTTCGCAGAGTGGGCCGAGCGGGCAGCGCAGCAGCTTGCCCAAAATAGCGGATCGGTTTTCCCGGGATCGCCGCTCACAAACAGCTTGGAGCTGGCTCCAAGGAGCATCAGCAGCACAAGAAAGGGGCAGCGGTGGGTGTGTGGCGGAGGCAGAGCCGCAGCAGGGACTGGCGTGGGCGCACAGACAGACCCAGGCAGGCTTGCAGGGCCCTGAGCCGCTCTGGGCTGCACAAGGTTGGCTCTGGCTCCTGTGCAGCTGCAGGGGATGGACTCGTGCATCAGTGCTTGCTGTGATTTTGCATTTGGTGTAGTTAATTCTGAAAGCATCTACTGCTGTCAAAGCTCTCTTTGGACGGAAGTTACACATGAAAGTCTGAAAAACAGAATCTGTGGTACTCTAGCAAATAGAAATGTTTAAAAAGTAGGCAAGAGGAGGAGAATAGGCTGTAAAAGTAATGACTACCACTAAGAAGAGCTCATCCATTTCTTTCCAGACTATCTTAAACCTACCTGTTTAATTGCCTTCTGCTGCAAGTGAAAGAAATATTATCTATTGTTCATTACTTGCAAACTGAGTCAAGATCTAAGCTGTTTTTCACTATTCTGGCCAATGTACCCATTGTTTTTCCATACACATCACTTGAAGGAATAACTGTACTTTTGTTTGAGGCAGAGAGGAAAAGTTCTGTATGCCTCTTTGTGGAGGTGTGAGTTCGCTCTTCAGGTATATATGAAATACTTAATAGAGGCAGGTTACACTAAGTGAAGGGCCCAGTTCAGAGTGTGCTAGTTAAGCTGAAACCAAAGTCCTGTTGAAATGAATGAAGCTAGAGTAAATTCAGCTTCTCTTCTGTAAAAGAATGCAGAGGGAGATTTGGTATGCATTGACATCTCATATTCCTTTAGGTTGATTTATTTAATGGGCTGACCACATAAGCTCAAAGTTCAGATTTTGAGATTACTTATTAACTGTTTTTAATTTGACCTTTACTTTATTTGCAGTGTTTTTTGTTGCATGCTCAGAATTTTAATTTTTCACATTTTTTTTGTTTTGGTCTGTTGGGGTTTTTTTTTTTATTTCTTTTGTCCTGCAAGAAAGTTACATGCTCTTCTAACTGTTCAGGACATTTCACTGCTGTATTCCAAAGTGGTGTGAAAATATTCTGGTTTTTTTTATTAGCCTTGCTTTATAAACAGATTGCATACACTATTATTATCCTGAATAAAAATGTGCTGCTTGGCTTCTTTGTGCCTTGTGTAACATCACTGATGTTCAGCTTGAGTTTGAGATTTGGCAGTTGTCATTCTCCATTCTTACAGTTCATTGCTCATTTCCAATAGAATCCCCATGGGTTTAGCATCTTGACATGAAATGACTTGAGACATTTAAGACTGTTCATTAGAGTGTGTCATGAGATTTTTTGTAGTTATAGAAAACAGTGCTAGGTGAAATTCTGTGCATTTTTGACTGATAATTCATAGGAAAATACTTCATGTTTACAGTTCACTCGTGTTTGTTTGTGTATTATACTTGCAAACCCACATATTGTTCTCTGAGCTCTATAAAATTCGGGCCCTATCTAAGACAAACAGTTTTATCTCAGACTTGTTACTCTTGAACTTTTCACACAAGAGGATCACTGCAACTGAAGAAGCTTAAAGTATTGGCTGTCTGGAAAGATTTTAGCAGGTCTACAGTGAGAGCTTCTGTTTTCCTTCGTGTACAATTTTAGAAAATATACAAGGATTTGCAGAAGTGTAGTTTCTCTGGTGTTTGCCTTAAAGAGTTCAGCCCACAGGATGAGCTTGAGAGGAGAGTTGACTCAAAAGGAAGGTGTAGCTGTACCATTGTAGCACTTATCCCTCAGGGAGCTGTTTCAGAAGTTACCTTTTCCAGTTTTTGCAACATCCCTTGCACTGTATGGGTGCTGCAAGTGGAAAATAATTTTTTTTTTTTTTTTAAGTAGGAAGGCATCTACAGGATATTATTAGAAATGAGAAAATGGACATGGCAGGCTGAAAATTCTCAGAGTAAGAAAAGTTCCAGGGAAAATGTTAGCAAGAAAAATGTTGCTTGCTTCAGTTACTTCTTTTGAAGTTTCTCCATATGACTTTATAAAAACAATTGCCTCTAATAAAGCTGTCTTGAATCTTCCAGATCTGAAATGTAAGGAGAATTGTAATCTTGCTGTGAAAAGACTTAACAAGGTTTTAACAGGCCTATTTTATAGAGATACAGAATAACTAATGTGCTCTTCTCACAGTAACAATATTAACAGAGAGCAATTCTATTAAGTAGCAGTTGTCTGTATGAGTTGCCCTATTAATTTGTCCTGTATTAATTTGCTTTAATAATACATAGAACAGTGCCATCTTTGCACTTTAATGAGATGCTGTAAAGCTCACAGTGTTTCTAGAGACACCAACACTGGCCTTCCCAGCCACAATAAGTAGTTATCAGAAATAAACACTAAATATGTTTGAAAAGCCACTGTGCTGTCATAGACATGTATAACTATGAGTAAAATACACATCTAAGCTTTAGATTTTCACTTCTGTTTGAAGTAGAGCTGCTCTTTGTGCTCCTGCACTTTATCAGTCTCCAGATGGTTGCACAGGAACTGATAATACTCTGAGCAGGACACCCAGTGAGTCTCTGCCCTGTCACTGAGCGTGTTCTGAGCTTCTCTGTAAATTGCATGTACTGGTTAAAATATTTTCCAAGAGAAATGAACAAACTCAGTGAAAAGCCCCACAGTACAAGCCTGCAAATGTGTTTACTGTGTTTAAGCGAGCACCGTGTCACTTCTTTCTGAAATGTCAGGTTTGTTCCTTTTAGCCCGCAAGTTCACAGACAAGCACGAGTGGGTATCTGTGGAAAACGGCATTGGAACAGTAGGAATCAGCAATTTTGCACAGGTATTGATCCCTCTGCCCTTGCCCACCTCTGCAATGTTTATTTGTGCCTATCTCCTCTGTCCTTGCTCTTTGGACATTTCTGGGGGTGTTTTTATTGTTTTAATTGCATATGTGACACAGTGAGCATTATTTGTGATATTTGTGCCACCTCAGCATTCCGATAAGGTCTTAATTGCTTCACATTGAACCTGTGGAGAGCTGAACTTGGTGAGAGACTTTGATGTTCAGGTCTAAGCCTGAGCAGTTTGTGGCTCTGTGAAGAGCACATCTTGTACATTTTTAAGTCAGATTTCCTCTGAACACAAAGATAGTGAAATCCCTCTGGCTAAAGAACAGTTGTGAACAGATGTACAGCATGGCATGTAGTTTTTACTCTAGGACAGGAATTCCTTTGGATTTTTTGTTCTCATGCAGGTACTTGATTTGGAATAGTCACAGGAAAATTCTGGGCTGTATGTGAAACTTAAAAAGGAATGGGACAAGCTACCAATAAATGAAATTTCTCAGGACAAGCAGCATTTCTTTTAATCTCAGCTTTCTGTCAATAACTGTAATACTCTCTGGTCTTTTGTGAGATAGGGTACATGTGTCAGGGAAGAGGTGAGACAATTTTTATGGTGATAAGGGTCCCAATTAAGTCAGTGAGGACAAACTGTGTGCTAAAAGCACTCTGTAGCTGATGCTAAGAAGATCAGCAGATGTT